CGGGCGGACGAATGAACGAATGCAGCCCACAGGTCCCTGAAACGCTCCTGGCTGTACCGAGAGACGATAATTTAGCTGAAATACAGGCATGAAAAAAGGAGAAATGCCCAGTGAACTTACAGTCACCCTGAGCAAGAGATTCTGTGAACGGAGCCAGGCTGTTGGTGGGAGGCAGGGGCTGGCTGTGCGGGTGACAGGAAGGGGGCCTGCACACGTGGCTGAGTGGCATCGGGACGGAACTACCACGGATAAACTCAGGGCTTTTGCAGCGTGGCACACAGGGTGGGGCCCAGGCAGCCCTGGCCCTACTCCCCTCCAGCCCGGGCTGCTGCAGACTTGCCTTTTCTAGAACAAAGTCCCACAGACAAAGGACCCTTTCATGGGCTTCAGGCAGTCCCTGGCTGCAGCTAAGGCTACAGAAACGGGCTGAGAGCAGTATGTCAGGAGAGCGCGGTTCTGCACCAACCACCAGGGCCAAAATGACGCCAACACCTCCCTCTGGGTTTGGAGCAGGCTGGTAGGAGACTCCTACACACTGCATGCAATAGTGGCCCGCGGCAGCTTTGCAGCCAGCCCCTTGTCCCTAGCACTGAGTGATCTACTATGCTACCCACCTGGAAGGGAGCCTCTTGATAATCAGGGCTTTGTGCTTCTTGCCGAGGGACTCCCACCTCAGCATGCCACAGTGCTGAGAATTATCTGGGACCCTTTGTTACTGTCCCCATTAAACAGACAAGAAAACTGAGCCCTGTCTGCTTACACCACAGTATGCCGGCCACAGCAGGAGGACCCCGGGGCTCAGGCCCGGAACTGGTGACCCAGGGATTGCCTTGCTAGCTTCTTGCCTTTGATATTCAAAATTCACCCAGTGGTTTTTTTTGTTTCTTTTGCTGGTACTGGGTATTGAACTCAGGGCCTTTTGTATACCAGGCAAGTACTCCACTTCTGAGCTACTGTTACAGGCAGCCGAGTTAGACAGAAATATTATAGGCAGTCAGACAGGGCCAGGCCCTCGAAGGAGCCAGTAGGAAAGACAAGATACCTGGCAAATGGAGATGTATTTGCTGTGGGCCGGACCTCAAGACAAAGGACTAAACAAATGTACCCACATCCCTCCCTAGGTATGGGCATCAGGGATTGATATTCTAAATAGGTAGCAATCACCTGCAAAAAGCCAGGAAAAGTCAGTAGCCCAACCCCCTACAGGAAAAGCCCCTGTTCTGTACTCATATCTGTTTGCAATGTGACTCGCTTCCCCATTTGATCCCAATTTAATCAATTTTACCTGAGCAATTACACTTGTAATCTTATTGGCTGACCATAGTTTTGTCCCACCTCATGCCCACTTTGTAATTTCCCATTTTCGTCCTATCTTGGACCCGCCTCACCTTGTGGTTTTGCTCTATAAAGTCCGTGGGAAGGGCAAGGTCCTTGACAACCCACTCGGGCCCCTTCTGTCCCTCTCTTGGACAGAAGTTTTCTTTCCCTCAATAAATACATTCTGCTCTTAGGCTTCCTTCACGGTCACTGGGCCATGGTGTCCAGGCAGAGGCCTCGGGTGGCACCCGAGCTCAGGCTCCATGGGAGCAGATGCAGGTCTGACTCTCACCTTTGTTGTTTTCAGCCCTGGGACTCTGGGGAAGTCCCTCTGCCTCTCCGAGCCTGCAAAGCTGGAATAACACCAGCCTCCTAGGGCTGTCTTGAGCAAGGGAATGTAAAGGCCCGAGGACAGGGCTGTGCTCACAGCAGGTGCTCAATGAATAGAGCCACTGAGACTTCTTAGGAGCGCATGACGACTGACTGGAGGACCAGTTCTGTAAATGAGAACAATCCCTAAACAGTCTTCTCTGCTAAAAACACTCCAGTTCTCACTTGTAACTCTGAAAAAGCTACGCTCATACAAATGTTAGGGCAATTATTTTGACCACCAGTGTGCTGGACACAGCGACACCCAGACCAAGCCAAGATGCACAGAGCATCTTGAACCAGGTACCCTCCTGTCCAGAGCCAGGCGGCTGCCATGCTGGAACCCTGTGAAGACAGGCCTCTGGGGCACCGTGCTTTTCACTTCCGAGGTGCTGTCTTCCACCCCTGTACCTTTCGCCCCTTGTGTGGGCTGCTCAGGGATCCTGTCTGAAGGACAGCAGGAGGCATCACTTTAGAAGATGTGGCCACACCAGGCGCGGTGGTGCATGCCAGTAATCCCAGTGTCCAGGGAGGCTGAGGCAGGAGGATGGAAAGTTCAAGGCTGTCCTGGGAAACTAAGCGAGATCCTGTCTCCAAGTAAAAATTATTAGGGCAAAGGCTCTGGGTTCAATCCCCAATATCCCCCCAAAAAGAAAAAAAGTGGCCGAAGCCGTGAGTCACCAAATTAAGAGCATTAGAACTGCAGGATGAGTTCAGCCCTGCGGACAGTCCCGAGTGTCCCGAGTCCCCGCGGTGGAGAACCAGAGCTGCTCTCTTTAACAGCACTCCCCAAATACCAGGTATGTCTCAAACACCTCCACTTCCAGCGTAAGATGCTGGAGACAGATGAGCCCCGTGGCCGCTCTAATGCATGTAGAGCTTCTAGGGAGGCCAAGTTAGATGCCGGGTGAGCTCGGAGATTGCGTTTTTAAGTCCAGCAGGTACTACCTTACCTCTGGGACAACGGATTCCACACATTCCTCTCTATGTATTTGGTCTGAGGCCCTGGTATTTGCTCAGGCAGCGCAGAGCCCCACAGGAAGGAGGTGAGCAGCTCTGCCTCTCACTTTCTTTGGGGTGAGGAAGAGGAAGAGGGAAAGCCAGCCTGCCCTTCCCCACCCCTCCCCTCCTCACAGACACGCTCAGAGAACACCGAGCCTGCCAGGCCGCCACTGTGCTCTGCCCTCAGGTCAGACCCACCACCAACTGACTCCCAGCCCTGACCGCCACACGCGGCCCCCACCCCTCCATCCTCTCCCCAGCCTGGGAAACACACCTGTGCCGGGTAAGCCCTCTGTGGCCCTTCCCTTCCTTTGAATTCCTACCTTACAGTTGGTGTTGGTCAGCCTCCTCCCAGAAGGTGGAGGCGTTGCCTGGGGCAACAGCAATGTCACCTGGGAAGTGCTTCCTGGGTCAGCTTCTGAGATGGAGGAAGAACTCATCAGGGGTCCTAAACCGTTTTGGAGGTCCCTAGAGGGCTTCCAGGTATTCTCGAATGACGCCCTCCTCTCCAGAAGGCCTCCTCGCCCTTCTCTTCTCTCTGGACGCCTGTTACAGGCCATATTTCAAACCAGAGTTCACCAAAAAGACAGGCCAAGCAGCCTTGTCCTCAGCTCTGAACAGATTGCTTGGAGGGACACCAAGGATGTCCTCCGTTTGGACTCAGGACACAGCAGTGGCCTGACGGGTCACTCAGCTGGCAGAATGCAGATCCTCAGCAGACCTTCACATCCTGAAGAGTCAGATGAGGCGGACTGCGGTCAGGGCGAGGAATCATGTTCAGGGCTTTATATACATCAGCCAGTTCAACCCTGCAAGGGCCCTGGGCTGGGGATTTAGCTTAGAGGCAAAAGCGCTTGCCTGGCAAGCGCAAGGTCGTGAGTTCGGTTCCTGGTACCGGAGAAAAACCAAAAAACCCAAAAAAAAACCACAAAAAAACAAAAAAACCTGCAAGGGCCCTACATTGGGTTGTCCCCGTTTCCCTGATGATGAAACCGAGGTTTATGGGTAGTCGAGGCACTTGGGGAGCTACTGAAACCTCCAGTGAAGCAAAGGCAGGACAACTTGCACAGGGCAGATCCCACACCGGTCACACCTTCCTGGCTCTGGGCATGTGTACAGGAGACTCAGGAAAGATGAGCCTTGAGAAGCCCTGCGCAGAGACCACTGAGCCCTTTAAGTCCCAAGAGGCCAGCTGGGCAGGAAGGGGACCGGAGGCAGCCACAGCACACACTGCCCTGGGACTGCTTCACCCCCACGTGCACAGGGGCTGGGCGAGGAGGCGGCCCTCACCCTTCCACTGGGGATGGTGGTCCTCAGGGCTAACTAGGGACCTCCTTTCTTTGCTCCCTGCTGGCTTCCTACTGACCCACCCAGGTACACCTTGATTTGCATACAGCATTTACCCCTGTGGCCAGCAACCACAACCCTGAGACTGCATTTAATTTATGCAAACGCAAATCTGTAGTTAGGAGCTAACGCTTGCAAAGCACTAAGCAAATAAGTAAATAACATGAGAAATGCCAATTAAAAAAAATAAAAAGAGAAACCCTACGGGGCTAACACAACCCTGCCCTTGGGGCACTGGCCAAGGAGATGCAGAGCCAGGTTGACCCAGCCTCTCCTCTACCTGGAGGTAACTGTCCACTGGTGTGTGGGCCACAGCGGTGGACAGATGACCGCACTGCTGGCAACAGGGCCTCCCCACTTCCTTCCTGGCCCTGACCCCAGCTCTGCTAAGCAAAGGCTTTCCATATGGCTCGCCCCACAGGCAGGGAACAAATGACAAGATACATCCGAGTAATGGTCACAGAATTTCCTTGCAAATTAATACGCAAGCATTCTGACGCATACACCCTCTTCTGGAGCTTTTGCAGGGTGATTCAGGAGCCTGAGTCCAAACCACTCTGAAAATGATAGAAATGGGGTTTCTGAGCTGGCACAGCTGGACTGGGACTGGGACTGGGACTGGTGACAGGACCCACTCAGGCGAGCGGCACCCTGTGGGCACCAGCTGCTTTCCCAGGGACTGCTTAACTGCCCCCTGGTGAGAGGCCTGTTGGTGTAAGGTGCCTGTGGATGGGACACTTTAAAATGCTCGGATACCTCACCCGAGACGTTCGTGCAGAAGCTAAGGGCTCACACATTTGGCTCTGTGGAAGGCGGGCAGAGGCATCCTGGGCAGGCTTGGGAAGGGCCTCTGCAGAAGAGCAGGACTTGAGAAGGAAATGCGAGGGCGTGGACGGGATGAGAGGTTTGGAAGGTTAGGACCTTCCTGGTCACTCGATTACCGGGGGGTTACCTGGGGGAGGTACCTTCCTCCTGGCCAGCCTGGTCCCTCGAACCCGCTTCCGCTCCTGGGGGCTGTGCCCAGGTCAGGTCCTGCACTGCTCAGCCCGCAGTGTTGCCTCATCTCACCACACTGTGCCCAGGCGGCACTTACTCGTCAACTCCTTGTCAGGCCCAAACTGGATCTGCCACCTCAAACTGCAGTAATTAAGAAGGAAAGTCATCCGACGCTCGGGTCAGACTTCCCATCCTCCGTCCAGGCTGGGCTGGCCTCTCTTTCCTCCCTTCTCCAGCTGGCTGAGTTTTCCACCCTTGCACTGCCCAGGCTGGGAGCTGGTATGTCCTCCAACAAAGAAAGAAACCAGCCACTGCACTCTCTTCCCATAAGGGTCCCCATCCCAACTCATTTTGAAACTTAACCTGCTTCTTGCTCTATTAATGTTCAGTGACTGGCTAACACTTTACTTCCCCATACCTCAGTTTCCCCATCTGTAAAATGGGGATAACAATAATCCACAGGACACTTGGGAAACTTCAATGAGTTCATACAGCTATAGTGCTTCTCTGGGTAGCAAAGTCTGACAGATGTTAAGCCCTGAATAACCAGAGCTGTTCTGAATGTTAGTATAGATAATGTACCGCTGAAGGGCCCTGTGCGAAGGGAGCGAATCCTGATCACCTGTCTCCTCTCTTTGGTCATGAGGCCCCTATTTGCAGACCGAATACGATGATGTCTTCTTGTTGAGAGGGAGCCCCTCAGGAGCCCTCCATTTCACAGGAGGACTGGAAGGCCAGCAGCAGTGTAGCCCTGGGGCTGTCATGGCTCCTGGCACGCTCGCAGGTGGCTATGTGCTACTCCCCACAGGACAGGAGGCCCTGGTCTCAGCTCCCTGCCTTGGTGCCCTTCCTGAACATCAAAGCCCCAAACACGGGGCTGGAGTCCCACACCCAAAGGAGCCTCCCCCAGGTCATCGCTGAGGGCCAGCTGTCTTGCTGGAGCTCTGTCCTTCGGATTCTTCCAATCAGGGAGTCTGAGGCCAACAGAGAAGCGTGTTTCTTCTCTGGAGTTTCAGTGCGTAGGGCGCCTGCAGGCCACTGCCTCGTGCCCCTCCGCTCCTCACTCCTGGAGCACATGGCTGGTTCTCACTCACAAAACGCACTCTGCGGATCTTCCACCCTCCGCCCAACAAGTTGCTGCCGGCAGTGGTGTCCCTCCACCAGGGGGCACTGAGAGCTGGGGTAGGCCCACCGCTGGCCCAACTCTGCTCCGGGGGCTCCACACAGGGGTAGTCATCACCGTCTCCCTGGGAAACTGCACTCTCTTCATAAAACACCACCGCTCTCTCGACTTCCTCTTTATTAAGCCCCCAGGGTCCTAAGCAGGAAAAACACAAAACCAGCTTCCTCCCAGATGACACCTTCACCCATACGAAGATCACCCGCACACCTCTCCCGAGAGGCACCACAGCAGAGGCGGCAGCTCCTGGGATGATCATATCAGGTTAATCTTCAGGTCTTTGCCTCCTGAAAGCCAGAGCCTTAAACTCTATCTCTGCTGTGTCTCTGAAACTTACTCAGCTAGAGGTGAGAGTGGGTAGAACGACTTCATGGGGACCCACAGGGGTTAAAACTAAGGGCAGAGAGGCCCCGGAGCAGCAGCAAGACACAGTGGATTAGCAAGCAACGAAAGCCACTCGGGCCCCACAGGCTGGAGGCAGGACTCGGGGCAGCGGCGGCAACCGCGCCAGCACCTGCACCCCTTTGCACTGCGGTAGCGGCCAAGCCTCAGCGGTGGGGGCAGCTCCCCCGGGGAGAACGGACTGTAAAAGGAAAGTGCCCCGTCAGATCCGAAAGAGGAACACGAAAACGGGAGGCAAGCCTGGAACCGATTTGATTCCAAAAACCCAGGGCGCTGGACGCTGCCAGTGTGGGGGGTCTTGCGGGGCGAAAGGCTGCCCGAGGCTCGTCCCGAGCCGGTCTAGTGCTTCCCCTCCCGCCCGACGGCACCTTGTTTGCAAAGAGAAGGTGCGTTTTGGGCGGGCGCTCAGCCCGGCGCCCCGGGAGCCCCTCTACCTGCGTGCAGGGAAGGTGGGGCCCCCGGTCGGGCCTGAACGCGGGGTTCGGAGCAGGGGCTGCGGCTTCCGTCACCCACCGGGAAGCCGAGCCCGCGCGGGTGCAGAGGAAGC